AGCTCCATCTCCACCTCCTCCTCATCATCATCATCATCTCCGACCCGCCTTCTCTCCAAACCCTAGACCTACCCGCCATTGCAGTCTCTCTGTTCGCTCTGCTCCCACTTGCTTCGCCTCAAACGCCGTAAGTTTCTAGGGTTTTTTTTATTCTTTTCCGCTCAATTCTTGCTTCATTACTTGTCAACGATTGCTCTTTTATGCATATCCTCGATTGCCCATGCGAAAGGAAGGTGTTTTGATTGCTTCGGTGGTGACAAGATGCAGATTTTTTTGTTTTTCTTCCTCCCAACACAGGTCGCTGGAGGAACATCAATAGATTGGACTCAGAAAGATAGGTTTAGCTTTCCTAATGTTTCGACCGACGCGTTGCAAGAGGAGAGCTTTTGGGAAAATCTTGACGCGGATTTGCAGTACTGGACGAGACCGCTGCGCCCTGTGCAGGTAATAATAGGAGGGGTGTGATTTTGGTAACTATCGTTCGATATGGTGATTTGGGTTGTGAAGTTTTATTGCATTCTATGTCGCTATGCACTAACTAATTTCATACTAGTGTAGTGGTACCCTGGTCATATTGCGAAGACCGAGAAAGAACTCAGGAACCAACTCAAATTGATGGATGTTGTCATAGAAGTTCGCGATGCTAGGATTCCCCTAGCTACAAGCCACCCAAAGGTGACGTGCTGTACACCTTTTTTCTTCTTCTTCTTTTTCCGTGGTGATAGAGAGAACTGAAAATTGGAGTTTGATATCCAATTGTTTGTTTCATGATAAGATGGATTTGTGGCTTGGAAATCGAAAGAAGATTCTTGTTTTGAATAGGGAAGATATGATATCCACTGACGACCGAAATGCATGGGCTACTTTCTTCGCGAAGCAGGGGGTTCAAGTTGTTTTTGCAAATGGGCAGCTTGGAATGGTACGTTCATGAAAATGTTTCCAGCTGGTTGTCTGTTGTTGTAGTGCATGTTTGTCAAAGATTGTATAATTATTATTATTTTTAATTGCAGGGCACTATGAAACTGGGAAGACTTGCAAAAGCGTTAGCTTCTGGTGTCAATGTCAAACGTAGAGCTAAAGGCCTTCTTCCTCGACCGGTAACTTATGTTTCATTGTATTTAAACGGTCTCCCTCTGCCTATACTTTTCTTCTTTCTCATCTTAAAATGCTGTGGTGTTTGAGAGATGTTTTCAATCAACTACCTGCTCTAGTTCTTTCGTCTGTCCATATTATGATTTTCTTGTATATAAACTGACTTGTATAACCTAGATTCAGATAACCACAGGGGAAGCATGAGGTTGTTACCGTTCTGACCACAAGTTCATACATATTGAAGAGATTGCTTCTTGATTCTGATGATATAGAAAAGCTATTTACCAAGTGTTTGCTTCCTATCCATGTTGCATAAAGACGGATGACCACCTTGACAAGCCATTATCTTTACAGTGTAGGATATCCACCCACATTGCAGGGGTTACCAGATAAAGGGGATCGAATCTCCTTAGGAAGAGAGAAAATCCTACACTTACTCTGAGAGAAGGAAAGAGAGAAGGCCCCGAACCCGAAACCCATGTCTGATCCAGTCATGATCCAACTACTGAGTCATTATCCAAATTGGATTTGTACGTGGTGGATGTCTGCTAGGTTGGGTTCATGCCTGAATCTACAAGGGCCAACATCACAGACTATTGGTTAGGATTGTGGAAAAATAAAAAGTATAACTAAATCTTCTGTCTATTCATAATTCATAAACTATAATGTCCTATATCCATCTGACTGACATATGCACACAAATATAGCCTAATTCTGCAATATTCATATCCAAAATTTGGGAAGCTACTAAGAATGTTTAGCAATAAGTTCAATCAGTCTCTTAAGCTCATAAAGCCTTTTTGATGTCAGAGTATGTACACCACATTACGTCGCATAACCTTAATTTTATATAACAGTATAACTAGAGAAATGAGTTATCATGGCTCATTAATGTGTCTGCGTAAGGTATTGGCATGTCTTGGTGGGTTGGGGGAGGTTGAATCAAATATGGCCTTCTCCAAGTACTTTGATATCTTATGCACCTACGTGTACAAATTTGTGGCTATGTGATGCAAAAAGGATTTAAAATCAGAGTACTTTTCTATATTATAACTCCTAGAACTAGAAGTATCATTAACTTATTGTTAGTGCTCAGATGATTACACCCGAGGGTTGAGCTCTTTGCCTCATGCTTTTGAATTTTTAACTAACATATTATATCCAGTATGTAATCCTGTGGGACTGTGTCATACAAATCCGTTGTTCGTTTTATTATAGATGGATATGGAAATAGGAAAATGCTCAAAACTATCTGACAGTTAATCTGCATCCATTTTGGAAGGAAAAAAATGTTTGGGTTATTTAGATATTAGTCCCTCAAATCTTCGAATATTCCATCAGTCCCTCAAATCTTTAAAAATTTTCATAAGTCCTTAGATACTAAGGGTGTTGCAATGGGTCCGTCAATGACAAAAATACCCTTCAGCTTATACTCTCCCCAAAAACATCTGTGCTCAAAAGATGCTGAAGGCTATTTTAGTCATTTAGGGACAAATTTGCAAGACCTTATAGGATTTCAGGGATGTATGAGCAATTTCAATGATTTGAGTGACTAATATGGAATTATCAAATATTTGAGTTATCAATATCTAAATAAACCAAAATAGTATTGAATACCTTTTTCTGCTTTGTTTACAACAGTTCTAGGATGTGCATAACCTACATACCTAGCCTTCACAGTAAGAAAAACTTCTAGAGCTGGACAAGAGTGGAAAAGTCATAAATGAATTGGTGACCTATTACAAAGAAAAGAGAAGTTAGCCTCCGTAATATTTTAAAATATACTAGAAGCATCAAAAAATATATTTATTCTTTGAAGTTAATCTGCTTTTTTCTAAGTTATGGATGAAAGTAAGGGGATGATAAAGAGAGAACATGAAAGGTGTGACCATGAACAGGAGACAATTTATGAACACAATGCTGCAACACTTTCTTGGTCATGTGCCCAAACAAATCTGCTTGACCAATTAACTAGAATTTTGTCATTGTGGATTTATGCTGAGATTTAGCATTCTAGCATGTTTTCTGGTGATTCTTTTTCCTTCTCTCTAATGCAATTATTACATTGTTTCTATATTATCATACTAAAAGACCCAAAAGATTGCGCAGCTACTCTTCTTGTTCTGCGTTAAAGTAGTGAACTCTGCATATTATCTACTCAAAACTCCAAAATAATATCCGGAAACTATACACTGTTATTATCATGCATATAGAAGTGCTTAGCAAAATTTACATTTCAGTCAGTATATGTTACGTAGGGACCTTGATTTGATGGAAAACTTCTTAGATGAAAATGAAGTTGATGTGCTCTCTCGTTCCTGTTACGCTGTTAGTTCCACTAGATATTGTATTTTTAGGAGTTTTGATTGATATTTAGTGAATGCCGTTTTGCCATTGGCAGGTGCGAGCGGGAATAGTTGGCTATCCAAATGTCGGAAAATCTTCTCTAATAAATCGTCTGCTCAAAAGGCGAATGTGCCCAGCGGCTCCTAGACCAGGTGTCACAAGAGAATTGAAGTACATTCTCTTCACCGTCTTTTTTTTATTTTTTATTTGCATATAAGGAATTGATCCTTTGACTACTATTTCTGTGATGTTCTTTCATTCATTCATTTTTTAATAGGTGGGTTCGGTTTGGGAGAGATCTTGAGTTGTTGGACTCACCAGGTATACTGCCCATGAGAATCAGTGATCAAACAGCAGCAATCAAGCTTGCCATTTGTGATGATATTGGAGAGAGATCATATGATGTTGCTGATGTAGGTGCCATTCTTGTCCAGATATTGTCAAGGCTTCCTACAGTAGGTAATGCCTTCAATTGTGTTCGTTTTCCTGTTTCTTCTGCTTCTTATGGATGCACTGAAGCTGGCCATTCTTAGTTCTTCATGTAGTTTTGTCAATATGGTGCAGCTATAGACTCTTGCCACTTATCTTTTGAAGAATATTCAATGCTTCTGGATCGACTTCATGTGCCATCAGGGAACACCATGGAGTTAGTTACACACAAGAAAAAAAAAATCACGTATAACATCGAAGAACTCAAATATTAAAATGTGTACCACACCATATCTAAAATGATAAACAACAGTGTACTTTTGAATTGGTTTTTAGTAAGTATGCGAACTGAAGGAGCTGAGCATACATTCTAGAGAGAAAATTATCAGTAATTAGGCTTACGTATGAGCATCAGCTTTCAATTTAGACAAAAAATTGAAACTATCTGATGATTTGAATCCTCGTCTAAAAATGACTAAAAGCAGAAGAGAGGTACATACGGAGTTAAGAATATCCTTAAGGGATTTTTTTTTAATTTCCTGGAATGCAGCTTAATGGAATTGTTTCCACTCTTCATGTGTAGTAAATGATGATTTGTGTTGAGCTTTTTACGAATCCATGGTCCAAAATCTTATAATAATAATAATAATAATCTAAGAGCACTGATTTTTTTCCCCCACACTGTTTAAGAAGTCTAGTTAATATCCTGATGACAAAAAAAATTGAACCACTTTAAGGGCATATTTGGATTTTATTGGGGGTAGAGGAAGCTAGGGGAAAATAAGGGAGAGAAGAGAATGGAAGGTAAGGGAATTCTTTTCCCCTTAATTCACCCCAACTTGGGAGGGAAGAAATTTCTGTTGATTGTAGGGGAACCTAGAGGGTGAGGGGAACCCTTCCCCTCGTAAAAACTTTCCGAACATGTGCTTCCCTTCTCCCCTATTACCCTCTATACAAACAGGCCCTATTAAAGGAAAGGATGTTTACTCCCTAAACATGGTTTCATATTATGTATTCATATGTTTAGTGACTTTAGTCCATGTAATGATGACAGCTGAGGAACTTCTGTTCATTATATTTGTGGAACTTTCATGCCGCATGTATATTACCTTAGCAATCATGGATATCATTTATATACATCTATTTTTCCCTTCATCTGGTAATAGACATTTCCCCTTGACAATTTTAAGCTTTCATGATTATCAATTGTTATTAATTCTAAATTACTTGAAAGTGTTGTTTTCTTTCATCATCTAACATGCATGCACCAATTCGCTGATGTCTGACATTGGATTTCCAATAGGTTCAGATGCTCTTTACAAGCGTTACAAGATCGATGCAGATGGATACTGTGGTAAAATGTACGTAAACTACTATATAGTTTACTTATTCAAAACTTGCCAATCATGGAAATTAATTGACGTTCGTGGAGTGTGATTCAATTGTAGATTTATTGATAAGCTTGCCTTGCAACTGTTCAATGGAGATTCTAGCCAAGCAGCTTTCAGGATCTTGAGTGACTACAGGAAAGGGAAATTTGGCTGGATTGCACTTGAGAGACCTCCTATATGATATACTTGTGCCATATATGTTGTATTTTTATGTAAGCGGTTGCTAGTTTAGATTACCAACGATAGCATTTTTATTGTGAACGGGGAGTTAATGTAATCTAAAATTGTATCAGTCAAATAAAGTGTATACATGGCCATAACTAATCTATAGATCAAGTTAATTCAGTGCTCCACTCGTAATCTTGTCAAGCATAATAAGGTATTGTGTTCCAGGTACTATAAAATGACTATAAAATGAAAATTTAAAGCCAGCTAATTCTTGTCTTTGAAACCCAACTAAGCCTTACCTGTAATTATTTGTAAACTACGACTGAAAGTAATGGTAGGAGGAACTTCTATGAACTTCCAACATGAACTGCCTTTGTTTTCACTCATTTCTGAAAACACCCTTGTATATTACAAAGTGCTATCAATAGGCAGACTTTGAACACAGGACACAGATGTATAAGATGTTTGATTATTATAAGGCTGTGTCCTTTTCTGTAGCTTATAGAATTTGCATTGTATGATACAAATCAACCTTGATCGCCCGTCGCTATCAGAACACACAAGAAATACTTCCATTCTTACAACTCATCTTTACACAGCAGCCACCTGGTGACCAACTCCAGATCCCCAAAGGAAATCTATGCTCAGAACTTAGAAGCGTGGCCATGATGTTTTTCTGCTCGGATCATAGTTTTCTAAGTGTGTCCACTCTATCAATCACGTCTAGTGCCTTTAACTTATCAATATCAAAATTGATGACTGGAA